ACCTTCATGATCACCGCATGCTTTTCCGTTATCTTGTACACGTGACTAGCTAATGAGGTTCTCTGGTTCGAACACCCCCTTCACTTTCACTTGTCAGCTCTTTATGTCAGGCTCTGGACTCTCCTCTCCTATATCCAAACATGTTGGGCTAAGCTGATAAGTTATAAATTTTACTTACAAGTAAATAAGCAAGTTTGGCTTATCTTAATGCTAAAAACAAACCCTTAAGCCAAACATGTATAGAATAAATGACTTAATTTTTCCACAAGTATGAGAATTGCTTATTGATGGCACAATCGTCCAACATTCTTTTGAGTAGTTAGATATTAAACCAAATTATTACAACTGCATAAATTTTGAGTATGAATTGACCTCAACTTGAAGAAATTCAAATAGAATCTTGTTCGGTAAAATTTCACAAGCTTACGAGATCGTTGATAAGTAATAAATAAAGTGGGTTTAGAGTTATTATCCCATGAAAAATAATATTTAATTTGGGCCTACTAGTTACTATCAAGATTGATAAAGAGTAACATCAAAGAGATTTGTTGTGATTTTTTAATCTAATTTTAACTAAGAAAGCAATTAAGAGTGATTTTTAACAAATATGTGACGAGAATTTTTAACAATTTTTTAATTTCATAATTTTTTAAAATTAGTTTCAATCAAATATTTTATTCAAAACATAATTTTGGTTACTTTATAATCCCACATTTTCTTAAAAATAAATAAATAAATTTCATTTGAAGATATCACTCCAAAAGACCTAAAAGAAAGGAAATTATTGAAAGGATAACTTTTGATCTACAAGGCAATTACGCTTACAAAGTTACTTAGTTTTTTCTGATAACTGTGTCATTCGATATAGCACCTAATGTTTTCAATATAGACACGGTGTAACTTTGATTTCTTAAGAATTCTAAGCAGATTCTAAAATTGAAAACTATAATGGATATCATGAACAATGTAATAAAAGGAAATTCTCGGTTCTAGAGAGGTGTTTTGGGAGTCAAGGAGAGGTCAAAATTAAAATATGTCACTTTCCTACTTCATTTTCCATTTTTTAAAAATATAATTTAAATTAAAAACACAAAGTAAAATGAAAAATAAAATTTATAGTCTGATTAGTCTCAAAATCTTGCCCCATTTAAAAGGAGCGATACATTTTGCATATCTTCATATGTTAAGGTCAAATTTGCATGTCGCCTTACTGCATGGACTAAATTTTAACGAATTAACGTGCCAGTCTTCGAGCAAATGACAGTTTTGGGAGATATCACAATGTGCATCCTTCATGTATTATAATGCTTTCTTCAAATATTTTGAAGCCCTCTGTTTCGACTTTTCGCTCCATTTTTTTGTAGAAGTTTAAATTTCCACACACACACACACACACACACACACACACACACACACACACACACACACACACACACACACACACACACACACACACACACATATATATATATATATATACGACACCAAATTAACTCAAGATTCTCCAAGGTCAAATTGACTCTTCTAGACCTCTTAGGGAACATATAGGATAATTATACAATCATATTACATCTTTCTTAACATAATGTCATGTTTTAAAAACAATAAACTTTTACACCAATTATTTTCTGCCAAATACACCTGTCAACTAGGATGTCAATATTTTCTGACAAAGGAGCTTAATTCTTAATTATGTTTTATCAAGTTAATTTCACCAATAGTCAATTAATAATTGAATTTTGAAATTTTAAGAATTTAATGCAATGTAGTCACAAAAGTTTATAAAGACTAAACTAATGATCACTAGGTTAGAAACTATTGGAAAATCATGCTCATCTTCGTTATTAACCTAGGGTTAGGGTCATGTTTGAAGCTTGGAAAATAGGGGTTTAGAGCTAGATAATGAGTTAGGGTTGAAGAAGAGAAATCGAGTAATTAAAGTTGTTTTGAAGGAACAAATATGCTTTTAATTAGTGGAACCACAATCTCATCTTACATAGTAAAAACAACTAAACGTATATATTGCCAATACTAAAACCATGTAGGATTTGCCTTTGGTATTTATTTATTTATTTTTTTTATTGAGTGACTATTAAAGTACCCGTTATAAATTTTGGTGATGACAACTATAACAAAAATACTTAAAATAATCCTTTTAAAATTTACTATTAGTAAGAACGTGCGTTGCACGTTTTATATATCGAACGAATGATATGTGTAATATTTTTGAGATATTAACATTTTTTTAAAGTAGTTAAGGTAATTGATATTGATAAAGGAAAAATTAAAATTGTAAAGAATAAAATTTTTTAAATACTTTACTTTTCCTTCTCATTTGTAAAGCAAGGAATAACCTGCCTGAGGGAAGTATGAAATTATGTACATAATGTGAGAATGTTGAATAAGAATTGATTGCTCTTATATTTTTTTTTTCTTAAGCACAGCAAAGATACCTCTTAAAGTTCTCTTACCACATCAACAATGAGAAGTTTTTATTATTCCCACTGGGAGTAGGAGATCAGGCTTATACATCGATGCTTATTTTCTGTTGCGTGTTCATGAATACGTTTTAGACATTGCATTAGAATTAGGTACGGTAAAAGTAGAACAAATCAAGAAACTAATGTAACAAATAAAAATTGTTTTTTTCCTCTTCAAACCTACATCTTAAAATCCAGGCCTCGATTTGGCATATAGATATCGTGCCCAAAGATGGCTCTACAAATTCATAAATATGAATAAAAAAGAAATACACATTTGCATGAATATGCTGAGACAATAATACTATTGAACTACCACCTGCTTATGATGTCCCAAACGGATGTACACATAAAATTAAAATAATTCATGGTAATAGATAAATTTAAAATAGACATGTCATACAATTAAATCCATGATATTAGAAATTAAATTGAAATGTGAACCACGCTTAACTAATGGCCAAAAAAAAAAAAGGTAAAAAGGAAAAAAAAAAACCTTTGCAACACTCGTCAACTTATAAGTAGCTTATATTTATCATTTAGATGGACAATACTAAAAGAATTAAAAAATAAAAATGGAGAGAAAAAAGAACTACATTATCTTTTTAGTATAATCAAAAATTTCGTCAAAGATCAAAACAACCATTTTTTTTTTCTAGAATTTGTCTCATGCAAATTGACTTCTCTAAAATTCCAATGTCCAACATGAATATATTTATGTATATAAGTATCATTTGGGCTATTTTCGAGTTTTGAGAAATTATAACCCACAATAAATTGCTTTCATTGACAACATTTGTTAATTTTAGCTCACATCAAATTGTTTTCATTGACAACAGTTCTAAAATGAGAAATATTGATTTTTATAGCTATCATAATCTTAATTATATTTATTACAAAACGTGTGTACTAACACAAAGGAGCTCTGCATCACTCTCTCATTTATATACATTAGTTATTAATTATAAAAGTAGCCATCTCTCAATCTCTTTCATATGTTCTCAATGGGGAGGAAATTAAAAAAAAAAAAAAAAAAAAATAGTCTCAACAAATTCTCTACATCTTCCATCATTGTATGTTCTCTTAGTATATTGAAATTTTTAATCTGTCAATATTATGTGCGAATGATTTAGAATTTTAGTACATATTATAATGTTGTAATAATTTATTTAATTTCATATAATGATAAGAATGTAGAAAAAGGACTTAAGTTTGAAAATGAACAAAGGTTATAAATGTTTATTGCAATTATAATTTTGTGTAGTTAATAAAAATTTTAGTGGAAATATAATTACCCATTTTATTTGGTATTCCACTTTTTTTTCTAAATTTTGGTATCATGGTGATTCATATATAACTACCAATTAAAATAATTTTTAAATAACGGTAAATATAATATAAAATGAAATTTTATAAAATTATACAACCCTCGTTTGAGCCCCATTCTTGTCCAAAAAATATATTTTTGAATAGTGTATTGATGAGAAATGTGCGGTTAAAAAATAAAATTAAAAGTTATCGATTTGCGTGTAATATTATTTTTTTGAATAATGCGTTGTTGAAGTAGGGTCAAATCATTGTTCGAAAATGTATTTTGATAGAAAAATGGAGCTCAAACAAGGGCATAGTAACATATTCTATATATGCATTAATTTGATTACATTAAATATATTACTTAGGTGTTTGGATATGTTTGAAACAACAAAATGAAATAGTCATTTAAATAGGAGAAAATAGATGTTATTTTTGTAAATTGACTAATTTAATCGAGAAAAGAAATTTAATTTGTATTTTTGTAATAAAAGACGTTGATAAAAAATTATATATTATTGAAAAGATTAATTTAGGGAATTATTAACAAATAGAAAAGAAAAAAGAGATTCTCGCTCTGAGTTTCATTTTGAATTTGTGTAGTGATAAAATCATTTTCGATTGGCTTCGCCAATTCTTCCATAATAGGTATAAGGCTGATTATTAAAGAATCTTTTATAGTTAGGTGTTTTTTTTTTTTTTTTCATGTTGAATAAATTGAATTAGTGTTATTAATTAATTACTAACAAAACCAAAATTAAATAAGGATATATTGGACATATGAGTAAATATGTAAGAAATTAATGCTATTAATTAATTATTAACAAAATTAAAATTAAATAAGGGTATATAGCTAAATACATAAGGGTAAATTAAAATTTCTCCTCAATCCTCCCTTTTAATATATAGTAGATTACAAACTTCAGTGATCATCTATAAAATTAACCCTTTTTTTTTTTTTTTTTTTTTTTCACATGAAAGTGGGAAATAAGTTGAATTAATCTGTCAACGTCAAAAAGCAATGGTGAAGGTACTCAAATGGCAATCTTTCAGGTAGCTACGTAAATGCACCTGTCTGGACCATGAAATCATTGCCTTTAATATAAAAGAGGGAATGCTCGTGACACTGTCCTCCACTTCACACTATAACCGGTTCTACTACTCTCTCATTATCAGGTTATTTCATTATTCATATAATGGAAACGACGCCATATTCATAAGCAAGTAAATTATCTGCTTCTAGAAACCATTGAGCCTCTTCCACTTTCATTTGTTTCTGCATTCCATTGTATCTCCGGTTTTCTCTATCATTTATACTCTGTTAATCTTTCCAGATATATGGATTTCTTGGGCTGTTCTGAATTATTACGAATTAAGGTATCTTGGTTATTTTATGTTCATCTTAAAAATAAAAATACATAAACAAATTAATAAATAAAAATCTGAGTATGCTGCTATTTTACTGTGATTTAAGTACATCAATTACCTGCTACGATTAGTTGGGAATTTGTAATAATGCAGAACCATCTTGGACGGTCTTTTATGAAATTTCATAAAAAAAATTTCACGTGCTTAAAAATGAAGCTGAAATTATCTGAAATCAGTAATGTTTTGATAGTATTAATTGGATTTGGCAAGCACATTGTACTGATCTTTGTGAAATTTTTTGGTTCTGATATTATTGTGCCTGCTGTATATATATATTTATATACAGGGTCTTTTTTTTGGTTCTGATAGTTTTTGGATCTTTGTGAATCAATCGTGGTTTCGCATCTTGAAGAACTACAGATATTGTTATACAGGGTCTGATATTTTACTTGTTGAATTTTGTTTGATACAGTGTCATTTCAGTGTGTATCAATTAGTGTGGTCTGTGGTCTTACTTCACACTTCTAATGCTGTTTTTTAGATTGAATTATACTTAGTATTGCTAACATCTCATCGATAATTCAAGAGTTTATTTCTTAAACGTATTCTTATTTTGATTTCAATACCTTTTTAACATCACAGATCTCTTTTATCCTTCGTGTGAGGTTTAGTATCACAAGTAAAAAGTAATTCTACTGCTCAAACTTGTGGTGTCTGAAATTGGTGTTTTCACCCCAATCTCATCATTCATACATATTGAACACGAAGAACTGTAATCATCTGGCGGGTTGGATTCTAAACTTGGTTACTGCTATCCGTTGATCAAGATGAATCAATTAGCCTATACATTTGGAATTATAGGTATATATTTAATTTAGTGTTGTGTTTCTATATGATAATATTTATTGTGCGTGATTTCCTGATACACATATATTTTAACAACTTTACAGGAAACGTTATTTCACTGATGGTGTACTTTGCGCCTATGTGAGTCCACATTTTGTTTTCGTCGTGTTCTTTTAAAAATAAATTAATATTCGAAAATAATTATTTTAATTTTTGCAGGCCAACATTCTGCCAAATTTATCAGAGAAAATCTACAGAAGGATTTCAATCCATTCCATATGTTACTAGTTTATTTAGTTCATTATTTTGGATCTATTATGCAGTTATCAAGACAAACAGCACTATGCTTATTACGATAAACTCCACTGGCTGTCTCATACAAATTACGTATATTTGTTTGTACATTTTTTATGCAACGAGAGATACTATGGTAGGGTACTAATTAAAAGTTAATATCAACTCATAATTTTATTTTTAGTGAAATGCTTAATATATATTTTAATTGTAACAGATGCAGATGTTGACTATGGTTGTTTTGCCAAATACCATTGTCTTCATTCTGATTATCGTACTGACTCAACTTCTAATGAAAGGCGGCGAGCGCACCGATGCTGTTGGATGGATTTGCATGTTCTTTTCACTATTAGTATATGTTTCACCTTTGTGCATTGTGGTAATTTAAATATATTATCTTTATGCTGTGATAGTTTATTTATTTATGATATTATATTAACATCGATTTTTGACATTAGAGAAAAGTCATTCGAACCAAAAGTGTCAAATACATGCCATTTCTTCCATCGCTTTCCCTCACTATAAGTGCTGCGGTGTGGTTTCTTTACGGCATATTGCAAAATGACTGCTCTATAGTGGTAAGTATATATATATATACATAAATACACAGAGTATATATTTTGATTTTGAATATATATGTTCTTTTCGATAATAGATTCCGAGTATGTTTGGCTCCATCTTTGGTATACTTCAATTGATGCTGTACTTTATGTACAAGAATGCAAAGGAAAATGGCGACGAGGGAAGGGAGGAAATCATTGCAATTGAAGATGATAGAGATGGTTAGAATGGATTATCAGTTCTTAATGTAAAATTCAGTTTCTTATAGATAAATGATATTTACATTATGAATGTGAAGTTCCACAAATACTTCATTTATATTAATGCACATCTTATTTTAACTATGACATTTTCCAAGCATTCACTTTAATTATTTCATTTAATATGTCTAATGGTTATAACAATTGCATGTTTTGTTTTTGTTTTTGTTCCTAAATTTTAAGGATTTTTTTTTTCTTTCTTTCTTAAATCCAATAAAGGATGAGCAATCAAGAGTAGGCCTCATGTCAATAAAAGCTTCTGACCTTTCAGGGGAGAAAAAGAAATTGAGTAATCAAAATCCTCTAGACTAGTAAAGTCTTCGAGAATAGAGCGGGAGATAAATCTCACCCTTGTCATGAATATATATACACGATGTTTCGGCGGGGGAGGCTGAAGAAACATGTGAAAGCTACTACTTTCATAACAGACATTGACCAAAAAGCTAAAGAGGAAGCTATTATGGCTCACAATGAGAGACTTACTACTGCCCAAGATTTAATGAATTTTCCAGCTCGATCCAACTGCAAATAATTAAGAACCTTCATGTTTGTGGCGATTGCCATAATGCACTGAAGATCATCTCAAGAATTGTTGTAGGCTAATCATTGCTCAAGATGCCAAGAGATTTCAGCACTTTGAAGATGGAAAATGAATTCTCTCTCACTCTGACTCTCTCTTTTTTTGGTTACTTCTCATGTTTTCTTTGCCATGGTAAGATTAACAGAGTATAAACATAAAGTGTCTGTTTCTTGAACAAAGTCATGTCTCACTTCTCATTAATGTCCCGGTAACAAAGGTACAATCTTTAATATTTTTTCTGATTGCTCATGTTTGACAATTCATATACTACAATATAAAAGCTTTGTTGCAAAATAACTATCTGGTAGAGCAGATAATCAAATAGCAATTGACAAGAACGAAAAGAATGAAAAAAGGTAACTTTTTGCAAAGAAAAAAAATTAGATGTACAAAAAATTCAATTCTTCTTATCTTTAACAAAGAGGAAATGGATTGTGTAGATTAGCAAATAAAGAACGATGATGCAATTGCAATGATCTTCCACTTAGAGAAGGTAGAAGTGGAAGTGCATTGAAGTTGTCCGCATTCTTCAACATTTTTGTTTGGATTGATTACTTGATTTAACCCTTTTCTTGCTATGCAATAGTAATAAACAGCAAGTATGAGACAAGCATAAGCATTAAAAATGTGAGAATTGAATCAATGTAGTCTTCAATAATGTAACACAAATATTCGGATACAATAGAACGAGGCCGATTCCAAAGAGAGGACAAATCAAAATGAGAATAGGATCATCCAACTGAACTTTTTCCCACTTGTTATAGGTTGATCCCAAAGGGTTGTAAATAATGAGATTTAATGTCAATGTGAAGTAATAAAGATCACGACAAGAAACAAGATTGAAAGTAAAGAAATAAACATAAAAAATTTATTACAGAAGAACGATGTATTATAAACTGACAATATAGAGAGCAATTACAGACATAACAATAATGTTTAAACAAAACTGACAAATGAACCTTGTATTTATGGGCCACATTTCAAACCCTAGAAGAGTTCTAAAATACAAGAAAATATATTACAATTAGGAGACCCAATTTCAAAGGGATTTTGTTTTCTTGTTGTTGAATTCAGTTAGACTCCTTTCCAACACTAACAATACGCGATTCAAGACTCCTATTTAGGTCACAACTCTAATAATCTCTACCTTGACTGAAATTCCGGCGCAATGAGCGAAGCTCCACAAAATTTCTCCACCTAAGAAATAAACCCGTTTGAATCAAAATGAAATGACAAATCTCCTCAATGCAGAAACCAAAACTCTCCATATAAACCATCGTCCTCTACACGGAATCTACAAGAAACACTTGAACCCTACTCTCGGGTTCCCAAAATTCCACCAAGAAATTAATGTTTACCAAACAAGGTCGAAGCACACCCTGTAATAGAAACCATACAAAATGCCTGAACAAAAGGCTCTTGCTAGAACTGTCGCCTTTAACATCCCCAAAAGCATTACAGACATCACTGACACTACGGTACCCACGCTCAATGGATCCAATCCTAGCAACTGAACAGAGTGCAACCACTGAAATTGGTGACAAAGCGGAATCACCAACACTCCCTCGAGCAATGTTCTGAACCAACTCAGAGCCCATCATAAGAGAAACTGTATCAAACTGAATATCCATCACGGTGCTGAACTTGTTCATATGTCTCTTAACTGGTTCTACGCTCCCTTGTAAGATGTACAACTGAGACATTCTTCATCCCTCTAGTACAACCCGGACACCCTTTCGGACCTTTAAGACTCCACCTCTACTAGAGAATTTATACTCTTTTGCATCCAGAGTACTAAGTGAGATGAGATTTCTTTTCAGGTTTGGAACATTTCGAACCTTATAAATTGTTCTGATTGTCCCATCCCGCAGCCTAAATCTGACTTGACCGATCCCAGCAATACGGCAAGACTGATTGTTTCCCACTACAACTCCATCTTGCCGAACGGCCTCATGTTTGAAAAAAATTTCCATTGGAACACATGATGCGAACATGCCGAATTAAGAGTCCACTCCTCGTCAGGCCTAGATTTCATTTTAGACACCACTGTCAATATCACATCACCATCGTCTGAAAAATCCTCAACTACATTTGTTTCATCTGAAGTCAAAGGTTGTGTTCCACGATTACCAGTTAAATCGCCTTTAGCCTGCAACTTATCAAAATTCTTCCGAATATGTCTCTTACGTCTGCAGTAGAAGCAAAACAAATTGCTACTATTTTTCGATCTGCCCTTCCGTCGATCACTATGAGATACAAGAGCTTCCTCATCCCTCGATGTAATTCCAACCAAATGCTTCAACTTCTCCTTTGAGTGTAAAGCATTATAGACATCGTCTATAGTCAAAGTATCCCGACTATACAAAACGGTGTTCGAAATGATGCATAAGAACTAGGAAACGGACACAACATGACCAAGGCTAGATCTTCTTCATCGTACTTAACCTCCAACACCTCTAGATCTGTAATTATTTCCTTGAACACAGCAATATGGTCCTCCAGTGACCCTCCTTCCACCATGCGATGAGAATAGAGCTTCTGCTTTAGAGCCAATTTGCTTGTAAGACTTTTAGTCATGCATAACTACTCAAGTTTCAACCACAAGACAGTTGATGTTTTCTCCTTCAAGACATCATACAAAATATTGTTTGATAAATGAAGATGGATCTAGGATAAAACCTTCCAATCCCTCCATTGTTTCTCTTTCGATGCCCAATTAGCTAGCATCTTCTCAAAATCTAGTAGCGCATCATCCAAATTTAACTGCACCAGAATAGTCCTCATTTTTACTTGTCATAAAAAAACCTTGTATTGCGATCTAATTGTGAAATATCATACTTTAACACAGTCGTCCCGAAAAAATCTCAACCAATGTACGAAAGGAGCGGAAGCATTGATACCACTTGTTGACCCCAAAAGGTTGTAAAGAATGAGATTTAATGAAAATGTAAAGTAATAAAGATCACAACAAGAAACAAGATTAAAAGTAAAGAAATAAACAAAGAGAATTTATTGTAGAGGAACGATGTATTATAAACCGACAATATAAAGAAAAATTACAGACACGGCAACAATGTTTAAACGAAATTGACATATGAGCCTCGTATTTATAGGCTACGTTTCAAACCATAAAAGAGTCCTAAAATGCAAGAAAACATGTTACAATTAGGAGACTCAATTCTAACAGAATTTTGTTTCCTTGTTGTTGAATACAGTTAGACTCCTTTCCAACACCAACAACATATCATTCAAGACTCCTATTTAAGTCACAACTCTAACAATACCACTTGTTAATCCCAAAGGATTGTAAAAAATGAAATTTAATGATGATGTTGAGTAATAAAGATCATAACAAGAAACAAGATTAAAAGTAAAGAAGAACAAAAATGGTTAATCGCAGAGGAAAGACGTTTATTATAAACTGATAATGTGGAGAGAAATTGCAGACACAGCAATAATGTTTAAATAAAACTGATAGAGGAGCCTTGCATTTATAGACCACGTTTCAAATCCTAAAAGAGTCCTAAAAGGCAAGAAAATATATTACAATTAGGAGACCCAATTTTAACGAAATTTTGTTTCCTTGTTGTTCAATATAGTTAGACTCATTTTCAACACCAACAACACGTGATTCAAAACTCCTATTTGAGTCACAACTCTAATAATATATAGTCCATATTCGAAATTTATTTAACATGCACAGCGAAAATTATGTTTAGAAAGAAATATTGTGATAAAATTATACCTTTGTTCAGGGTTGGTCCTGTGATCGTTGGGGGCTGAGATAAAGTCTATAAATTAGGCCCCCCCTCCCCTTGACAAATCAACGTAAATACAAAAATTCAACAGTATATCTTGCATCCTATTGCAAACTTAAAACTTAATATTAAAACAACAAACAAATATATTATTTCAACTACATATTATGCAACTTAATGCTCAGTAATTAACCTAAAAGACAATTACGAAATATCTCAATCATCCCACAATTAGAGTTTTCAATATAGCTACTACATGTGCCTATGCAATTGTTGATCATATAATAATCAATCATATAAGCCGACTAGGCCACCATTATATAAGCCAACAAGGCTTCAAACGTTTTCAACACATTCAATAAAAAGTTAGGAGAAGCCATTGCTGACCTGAGAAGTAGAATTTCGACGAAAATTATAGAATCACACCATTGAGAATTCCACCGTCACAACTCATAAGCTTGAAATAAATTTTATCATTACACAATGCCCTATTGCTGCTTTATGCTAGTTAGGGACGTTAAATAGTAAATAGATACCAAATGTAATGAAGGTTCAAGAAGGACACACATTCTTGGATCAAGATATAGTGAATAAATTCCCATTTTCCATTTTACAAATCTAATAACATTTTTGATTATTTACGCAAAAAATTGAGCATTACAAATTTATAGAAACAATACAAAATTAAAATGAAATCCAGACCCAAGAGTTGTCCCAAAAAATTTGTGACCTTGTCTTGATGAACAAATTCCCATTTTCCATTTTGCAAATCCAATAAGAGCATCTATTTAGGACAAAAAAAAAAATAG